GCTCTGGATTTTACCTGACTCCAGGGAGCCTCAAAAAGGATTTGCTGCAGCTTGGAGAGAGATTTTGGGATGGGGCAGGCAGGATTTGGCCACTGATGATGATGATGATGATGATGATGAGTTTATTCCTGCTCAGAACTCCTGGTCCTGTCCCAGGAATGGGAGGGGGACAGAGGAATTCAATCCTGATCCTTTCTTGTGCCCTGCTCCCTCCAGCCACGCTTTTCTTGTCTGGTGGGACAGGGAGCTGATCCTGAGCCACTCCTGCAGCTCACAGCACACAGAGCCGGCCCAAAGGCTGCCTTTAACGAGCTGTGCCCACGATTGAATATTTCATGGAGCTGGAGGGAGCTGCAGCTCGGCAGAAATGCTGTTAAAAGCTGAGCTCTATTAACAGCACGGCAGCTTTCACCAGGCGCCTCTGCTCACTCACCATCACCTCCAAAACATCCCATCAGTGATTGCAGATCCGGAGAGAACGGGAGCTGCTGAGGGAGCTGGGGCAGAGCATCCCAAATCCTGCTGGCTGTGGGCAGGGATGAGGACCAGACCCCAAAATTTCCCCACAGCCACCCCTGTGTGCTCAGCTCTAAAGCAGCTGGGGCTGCACCCACTGCTGGCCCCCTCCTGCCTTCCTTGCCCAGCTCCAGCACCCTTCTGCAGGGAGAAATATCCCAAAAAGTGAGGGAACAGAWGCAGAAATAAACAGCAGCTTCTGCTCGTTTGCCAAAAGCCCAGCACCACAAACCCCTCCTTCCTCAAACTCTGTATCACAGCCGAGAACTTTTTCCCTCCTTCCTCAAACTTTGTACCACAGCTGAGAACCTTTTTCCTCCTTCCTCAAATTCTGTACCACAACTGAGAACTTTTTCCCCCTTTTTTTTGTTCCTGAGCACTCCAAAATGGGAGTTACCAAGATGACCCCAAACTGGGGCTGGCAGCAGGGGGTGGTTTGCTGCTCTCAGCAGTGAAATCATCACCAGGCGAGTAAACAGCACAAAGGGAATAAATTTGTGCCACGTGACGGCCACGTAGGTGGGTCAGCAGCTGCTATCAGATTTGGCAGGGTCACCTCGAAGCAAACCGAGCACAAAAGGTCTGGTGAGCTTTTGCCATGTTTGAGGTTAGTCAGCTTTTCCATGACTGGATCAGAGCTCTCTCTGCTCTGGAGTTTTGCAATGGAGCTGAAGGTGATCAGAAAGCACCCATGGGGGCTGTGAACGTGGGGGTGGCACTGGGACACCAGGGGTGGCACTGCTGGGTGACATAGAGACCTGGGAAATCTTAATGGCAAGAATAAAACCAAACACAAATGAAGGAAGAAGATGTCATTGTGTGCCTGCACAAGAGCAGGCCCAACCTGTCACCTCCTGCTCTGACGCTGCTGTGGCCCTTTTTAAGCTGCAGATTCAGGTGTCA